GGGGGGGGGGGGCAGGCCAGGAACAGAGTTGGGTCTGTAACGTCCCAATCTCTTTAATCATCTCTAAACCTTTCCAAAATCATCTCTAACTTCCCTTAAAGAGTTCATAGTGATCGAGAGAGGCATCTGGAGACAGCCTGTCTTCGATTGTCAAAACACCTCCCAGTCTAACTACCAGTTTGCGGGAAATGTAGGGGGCAGAGAAGCACGAGAAGACAGGACAAAAATGCAATCAGATAAACACAAAACACAAAACCCCTGCAGGACAAGTGACCCAGTTTCTTCCACAAGTGAATTGCAAGGGGAAAAAAGAGGGAGGCCTAATACAGAGACTTAAAGACACATCAACCCAATGCAAAGTGGCAGCTTCCTTTGGGTCTTGATTTGGACAAACCGACTATAGAAAAATAGAGCCTTGAAACATTGGCATTCATGATACTTAGAAATCATTGCTATATTTTAGGTGGGATGTTAGGATGATGTTAAAAATAAAGGAACCTCGTCTTTTGCAGACACGAACTGACGTGTTTACAGAGGAAATTATACCATGTCTGAAGTCTATTCTCTACTAACCCGGGAGGGGTGTGTGGAGACCAGACATGATGATAACTGCTGGGGATTCATTATCTTATTTCCTCTAAGTTTTGTATTGAATTTTCCCTCATTAGGAAAAATTGAGACCTGAGAGAAGGAAAAAATACAGGTGATTCAGAAATAGACCCTGAATATTGAAGAAGTTCCTTTTTCTTACAGTCTCCTTTTCATGAGTGCAGGAAAGAGGGAGAACTGATGGAGAAAATGACACTTATCAGTGGTACGTGTCACCGTGGCATTGGCTGTGGTTTCCCTGTTGGTGTCTCAGAGTCTGTGAGATTCAGCATTTGCTGGCTTTCCATGGTGGAAGCTGTCTTGGCTGCATTAAGGGGCTGGTCAGGTCAGGCAGGTGAAGCCGGGTTCGGGTCCAGCCCCGGCAGTACCCGGACGTCCTGGGGCTTTTCCACTGTGCCCACGCCCTTCTCCCGGGACACAAACTGGCCTCGGATGCCAGGAACCTGCTGGAGCGGACAGTGACCCATAGCCTCCGTGGGGGCCACTGACACTCAGCAGGTGGCCTCCCTGAAACAGAACCAGGGCTGGCGGGGGGGGGGGGGGGGGGGGGGGGGGGTCACATCCCCCAGGAAATGTCAAATCCAAACCCAAACAGGAATCATGTTCGTCCTCACCAGAGTTTGAAAGGATGGATGGGGAATGGACAGCTGTGCTATTTCAAAAGCCCCGTCTGAGAGGCTGATTGGGGACGGGGCCTCGAGGAGGGTCCAGGGGACTGCGTGTCAGCTCTGTTGCCAGGCCAGGGTCTGCTTGCGAAAGGCCGTGTCTGTTCCCTAAGCTGCTGCTCTAAGTCCATGACAGAGGGAGGCCCCATCAGGCACAAGAGACAGGGGCCGGTGGCAGACGGTGTGGAAGAGGAGTTCTACACGTGAACAATCCACACAAGAAGAAACAGGCGGTGAAGACAACACCAGGCTATCACCTGGGCCCGTCAAGCCGGCAAAACACATCCCGCATTTGGACCCTGGAGTGGGGGTTTGGGCGGCACCCACGACTACAGAGGACATTGTTGAAATTATCGGTACATTTTGAATAGGAGTCGGAAAAGAGCAGTATTGGGCGCCTGGGTGGCTCCGTCGGGTAAGCGTCCGACTTCGGCTCAGGTCATGATCTCACGGTTCGTGGGCTCGAACCCCGCGTCGGGCTCTGGGCTGACAGCTCGGAGCCTGGAGCCTGCTTCCGATTCTGTGTCTCCTTAGCTCTCTGCCGCTTCCCCGCTTGTGCTGTCTCTCTCAAAAATAAATAAAGCGTTAAAAAAAAAAGTTACAAATAAATTTTAAAAACCAGCAGTATTGTATCAAGGCTGAATTACTGATTTTTCATACTTGTACAGCAGTTATGCAGATGTTGTTAGGAAACACAGTGAAATATTTTGAGGTAAAGGGTCACGAAACCTGCAACTTACTCAAATTGTTCAGGAAAAAGGGTGGGGGGAGGGAAAGAGGAGCAAATGGAGGAAATGTTAGCACTTGGTAAATCTGGGCAAAGGCGGGGTTCTTTGTACTATTCTTGCAATCTCTGTAAATGTGAAATTATAAGTACGCCTTTGCTTTTGAAAGTTCGCATTCCGCCTCTACGCTTTTACGAAAGACCTACGTTAGTACCTGTTTTTGCTAACGCAAAGAAATCTGAAAAGGATTTGCACTTTCACAAGAAATGGCGAAAAGCCAGAATAGCGCTTAGCCTTTGTTTTGCTACAAGCTGATCTGCTCTAGGGACAGCGGAGAGGAGGGGCCCCGCCAAGCTCCTTCCTAGGAGGTATGGTCAGCATCTCAGCATCAGGCTGCCAGCTTTGACCCGTGTCTGGGAGCATCTGGGCTTCGTCTCGATTTATTTTGTTGCTTCTGTTAGCAAGATGCCTAAGAAAGATTATGTTCTGGGTCTGGAAAGGCTAAAAAATTTTTTCATCTATATTAATGGTAATTGCTTCTCTGCTTGACGCCATTTCTGCGAAAGTTTGCATAGCAACCCCCCCTTGCTTTCAGATTGCAGGACTGGGGGGCAGGGGAACCGATACATCAGAAAGTTGTTTTTTTTTTTAAGTGGAAAAAAAAAAAAAGCTGGTACCGCTCAATGCTGCAGGGAAGCCGGGGACATGAAATGCCTTGTCCTGCCAAAGGGAGAGAAAGCCGGCAAATGTAATCGGGAGGATTAAGCAATAAACATCACAACTTTTGACCCAGAAACTCTGCTTCCGGTTAGCCTAAAGAAATAGCCATAGATGTGTACGGAGATCAAACCACAAAGATTTTCACTGAAGCCCTAAACGTTCAACAATAGATTGGTTAAATAAACGATGGGCATTCACAGGATGGACCACTGTAGTCGTTTAGATGGTTCTGTGAAATAATACTTAATCACAAGGATAAGTGTTCATAATACATTGGGGGGGGGGAAGGTTCCAGGACATTATGTTCAGTGTAATCATTATGGTGAGTAACAGTGAAAACCAAACTGAGTGTGTGTAAGTGTGTGTGAGTGTATGGGGGTGTGTCTTCACATACAGCTTCTTGAGGTCAAGTATCAAGTCTTATTCATTATTGTATTCCCTGTGCCCAGGACCATGCCTGACACGCAGTAAGTTGTAGTAAGTGTTTAGTGAATGGGGGCACCTGGGTGGCTCAGTCGGTTAAGCTTCTGTCTCTTGATCTCACAGTCCTGAGATCGAGCCCCGTGTCGGGTTTCGTGCTGAGCATGGAACCCACTTAAGATTCTCTCTCTCTCTTTGCCTCTGCCCCCTCCCCTGCCTGTGCATTCTCTCTCTCTCTCTCTCTCAAAAAAAATTTTTTTTAAAAAATTAGTCAATGAATTAAGAGCCATAGTAAAAAAAGCCAGATGATGTACTTTAAAATGTCCATAACAGTATTTCTAGGTGGTGTGAATATAGGTGATCTTCACTGCCATTTTTCTATCTGTATGGTCTAAATGTTCTGTGTAGAACATTGATCAGCTTTCCAATAAATTATTTAAAACAATAAATGCAACTATTCAAAAACGATTGTAAATTCTTTCAAACAGTAAACGCAATTCTTTAAAAACAATCGTGGGGGCACCTGGGTAGCTCATTCGGTTATGTGTCTGACTCTTGATCTCAGCTCAGGTCAGGATCTCACGGTTCATGGGATCGAGCCCCGAGTCTCGGCACTGACAGTGAGGAGCCTGCTTGGGATTCTCTCTCTGTCCCTCTTTCTCTCTACCCCTCTCCTGCTTGCGCTTTGTGTGTCTCTCTCAAAATAAATAAATAAACATTAAAAATAATAATAATAAGGGGCGCCTGGGTGGCTCA